TGGTGTGACAGGACGAACGTATCGTAAATACCGAGCAAAACGAACGTGCTCGTAAGAGGGTTGGCAGCAAGGTAGTTGGTAGGGGGGGGGCGCCTACTACTACTACTACTCCTCCTACTACTACTACTACTACTACTACTACTAAAATTATTATTGCTTTTAATCTTCTACCGGAAAACCTAGAGATACCTAAAGCGTCAACCGCGATCTGCATCCCGAGCCGGGGCCCTCTCAGTGCAATGAGCCTTTGGAAAGTTTTCCCAAGGGTGCAGCTTCGCCCAGGTTTAGGGTCTTAGGGTTTAGGGTTTGGGGCTTAGGGTTTAGGGTTTAGGGGTTTAGGGTTTTAGGTCCGCCCTACACTGAGGGCTTCGTGTCAAGGCTTAGTGTTGAGGGAGTCGGAGTGTGACTATCGATGAACGGTCTAGGCTGTTGTGGTTTGTCTGAGACTTCCGGGTTCCAAAAAGACCCTACGAAATATAAAGAAACCATACTATTTGCTATAGATCGCCCATTAAGGTCACTTAAATAAACCCCAAAGCCAAAATCCTAGAATCTTCAGCCCGAAGTTTCAGCAGGTCGGGTCTTGGACTCTAGGGTTCCTCCGGGGCGGCACCCTGCCCCTTGGGAAACTTGCCATCTAGCAAGTGGCATGCAATGAACGGTAGGAGCATTGCATCAGGAAGATTGAAGACGGGCCAGCACGCCACATGGGAAACACCGAACCGCCTTCCTCGTGCGAGTACACATTGCAGCATTGGTGTTGATGTCGGTGGTAGGTGTCGTGCTCCTCCATGTCATAGTAACTACTGCTAGATGTCGCCGTCGTCACTGTCAAAGTTGCAGGACCCTACCAAAAACCTTAAACTCTTCACCCTAAACCCCTGCAAGCCTGAGGCCCTAAACCCTAAATCCCTGCAAAACCTTAAGCTCTGAGCCTTGAGCGCTAAACCCTACACTCCACAGCTACCCCCAAACCTTGGCATCAAAATAGCCCAGAAGCCTCATAGAGTAGGGTCTTTGAGCCCAACAGCCTTGAAATATGAGCCCTTTGAGGCTAAGGGTAAACCTCCCTAAACCCTAAACCCTAAACCCTAACCCTAAACCCTAAACCAAACCTCATGAGGAGGTTTTCGGGTCGACTGGCCCGTCTCTTCGTTGGAACCGGGCTTTACCTTCTCGCGGCTTGCAAGCCCCGAAAGGCCAATGTAGAGGGTTGAGGGTTTAGGATTTGAGGGTTTAGGATTTTAGAATTTTAGGGTGTAGGAGTTTAGGGTTTAGGATTTTAAGATTTTAGGGTTTAGGATTTTAGGGTTTTTTTAGGGTTTGGGATTTTAGGGTGTACGATTAGGGTTTAGAGTTTAGGACCTTAGGGTTTAGGTTAATGGGCCTAGATTGTTGGGTTTAGGGTTTAGGATCGGGGTTTCGGGTGTTGGGTTCAGTGTCATTGCCAGTATCGTTCCTTAGGGTTCCTTCATAAACAATAATACTAGGCTCTACGCCAGAACTCTGTTCTGATCTATTCGTGCAGGTATCTTAGCAAGCTGGAACCGGTCTGAAGGGCTTCTTTTGCGGCTTAGGACTGAAAGGTTTAGGGCAAAGCGAGGCTGTGGGGAAACATGAATCGCCAAAGGTAGATGATTTAGGAGTTCGCTTTTGCCTGCGGAAGTAGGTTTTCCACTTTGTTGCTTGGCCTTCGGGGGTGAAGCCAACTGAATGAAACATGGGGGATCACGAGAGTATAGGGCTTTAGGATCACACATTTAGGGGGTATGACAGCAAGACTCTCAGTCAGCATACCTTGCTCCGCTGAAGTAGCTTCAAGCCGACAAGCACCAGTAAAGACCGGCAAACTGGGTGAGCGCCGTTGTATTTCGGAGGTGGTTCTTCAACAAGGTGAGACACTGAGCCCCAAATCCTGAAACTCTGAACCTGAAGCCCATCAAAGCCCTGAAAGCGTGCCCCCAACAGTAGGCACGGCCCGAACCCCCTAGTTGAACAGCCACCTCCAATGCTTTTGTTTCGAGCCGCGCACCCCTCTTGCAAGCGTGGCACAGCTTCTTAGAGCGAGGGGTGGATGCACGTCCAAAGTGTGAGAGCATTCACAGTTGGACCAGGAGTTCATGGGCCTATTCTCTGCTTCTTAGCTGCTACAGGGCCTTCATGAGGCAGTCAAGGGCCGAATGCGTTTTATGACCTTCGGCACCTCAATCTGCCCCGTGACTGCATGCTCGGGTTTTGCTCAGCATCGTTACTATACAGACAAACCAATGCAGGACCTATGCAGGTGGTGGAAGGCAGTGTCTACACCATAATTTGAAGGAGCAGTGGGAGTCTTGCGGTGCAGGGCTTGATTACGTGGCCAACCGTTCCAAGTTATAAGTAGATACAGTGTACAAAGAAAGCCACAAAAGAAAAAACCCTGACAAGGTAGGGTTTATTGGGGGTACAGGCAAGGGGGGGCGGTGGATGGGAGAAGCTTTCGGGCTTGTTTCGGTCTCTCCTTCCCTATCAGCAAGAAATTGGACCACGCTTCCTGCAAGCCTTCTTCACTTCGGGCAAGCGCCATGGCATCGCAAAACACACCTCATCGACCTGGTTGCGGACGTTTCGGATTCTGAAGTGGTGTAGGGGTTTAGGATTTAGGGGTTGGTGATTCTGTTGAAACGGAATGGATGTGCTGCTGATGGAGAATGAGTTGTGATGGCAGTGATGGCTGACAATGAAATTATTGCTGCCGACCCCCTAGCGGCTCAGAAATTCGACCATGGCAGGTCCGTCCGCAAGATGTAGAGGCCTGGCCTAGGGAGGTTCTAAGTCTATCAACTCGTTGCAAATCCACATTTCTAAAACCGGAGATGTGAGAATTCCGAAGGCTGCAATCAAAAGAAGCTTCGGCTGATATAGACTTTAGGGTTTAGGGTTAGGATTTGGGTTTAAGGTTTAGGGTTTAGGGTTCAGAGTTCAGGGATTAGGGTTCAGGTCAATTCAGAAAGGACCCTGAATACTAAATGCATCGATCGTGAACCCTGAACCCTAATAAGAATAATAATAGTAAGAAGAATTGCCATGTTGGGACAATGATTCAGGGAACTTTCAGGTATAGTATTTAGTATAAGCATTCAGGCTTCTATTTGCCGCAACTTCGACTATTGGTCCTGGTGGTGCTGCTACTGCTGCTGGCTACGGAAACTGCTCTGCCCACCTTCTGCTGCAACATGGGCCCTACACCAGCATGCTTCAAACACCTTCCTGCGAGATCCCGGCCCAGTGTCTGGCAGCAGAACTGCAGAATTCCTTCGGGATTGTCGCCCACCAAATGGTAGGCCTCCGGCCCGTCTGCGGTTGATGGTTGGTTTAAGGTTTGCGGTTTGGTCGGGCCTGAAAATGAACACTCAGTAACCGTATATAAACAGGATCCGCTTCCAGTTCCTAAATATCCCATAAAGAGCATCCCGCAACCCGTACTACTTGTCCTGCTCGGCCCCTGAAATACTTCTCTTGGAAACCCGGAGCAGGACAGCGGGCCTCTCCCCACATAATACAGGGACCGCAAAAAAATTCGAGGGTATCGGAAATATAGTGTAGCTATAGAGGCTCCAGAGGGAACATAAGAGGATGTCGTTGTTGGTGAGATCTTGCAGCGCCAGCGGTCTACATCTTCTGTGCATGGTCAAGGCCTGGATACACTTTTCGAGCGGAAAGCCCATTGACATCACCTGAGCTCCGCTCGAGGCAGCTAGCCCATGTGGTTTGGAGCTTGGGCTTGAGGGTTTACCTGTAACTCTCTTTACCTACAGTTTAGTGGCCATTTCCACTTACTTAGTAGGCAGAGCCCATACAACTGTAGGTAATTAGAGTCCCAGGTAGGGTCTAGGATTTAGGTTTGAGGGTTGAGGGTCGAGGATGATGGTGGTGGCGTAGTGTTGAAGCCACGAGCGTGGTAAGCAGTAGGTGGCGTAGGCCCAGGGCCTCAAAGTGTCTGTCGTCTTCATGGTAGTAGTTTGTGGGAGTCCCTGCCGTAGTTGTGGCAGCGGCACTCGTCAGTTAGCAAGGGGAGTAAGATAAGCTTGCTGCCTGCCTTTGTTCTGAATATTTCCCATCACAGGCACTGGTGTTCACAAGATCAAGGCACTTGACTGTTGCAGTTGTTGCTAGCACAATGACTGTCGCCTGGGTCACTTGAACTCGCATTCACCCGGCGAAGACTAATCTTGTTTAGTTGTGCGCTGTTACTTCATGTGATTGGGTGCTCCTGGCGACGGTCCCAAACCTGAAACTAGTTATGTCAAGAGGCTCTTCGAGCTGGGTGTTTCGGGTTTAGGGTTGGGGGCTCGGGATTTTGGCATTTTGGGGCTTCGCGTTCTGAGCGCTCTCTGCCCACTGCTGGTGTAGACGTGGCCCCTCGAGCCCGCAACACAGGGGCTTTGATGATCAGAGTAGGGTTTTAGTGTGATGCAGGCATACAGGGACTGCAGGGAGATGTTAATCAGTACTATAAGTCTGTCTACATTAACCCGAAAAGCCGTACATCGAACAGCATGCCTACCTAACCTTGGTCGACGGAAAAGCTCGGAACAACAGTCTAAGGCCTGCTTGAAGGGTTTGTTTATAGCAGGGTCTGACGATGTGTGCTGAGACCAAGTGTGGAGGATTCTAGAGATTCCAATTCAGAGACACCACCCCCGAAAGGCTGCCTCAACCAGTAAGCCCGAAAGCCTCAATCCCACACCTAGGAGGGCCGAGGCTTAGGGCTAAGGATTCAGGGATGAGACGCTGAAGGCTCGCCATGCATGGGCCGCCCACATCCCTGCACCATGACCCCGAATCCTGATCTAAAAACCCATCCACAACGTTTCAACCCTGAACCAAAAGCCTTCGGCTAACCCCAGCCCGGAAGCCTGAAACCCCCTAAACTGCCCGAAACCCGAAATCCTGAACCCTTACCCGGAACCCTAACCCTGAACTCCCAAATACTAAGAACTTACACCCCTGAAGCCCAAAAACCCTGGGCCCCAAACCCTGACTGAGGACTTGGACTAAGCACCAACCCCCAAAGCCTAAAAACCCAAAGCCCTAAACCCTAAACCCCAAAACCCTAAACCTCAAACCTCAAAACCCCAAACCCTACAACCCTAAACCCCAAACCCTAAAACCCTAAGCCTTAAACCCTAAAGCCCTGAAGCCGTAACGCCCTAAACCTGAAACCCTAAAACCCTAAACCTTACACCCTAAATCTGCAAACCCCCAAACCTGAAGCCCTGAGCCGCCCACCGCATAGACACTCTCCGGATACTGAAACTCCCGGCTGTCCCTGGTCATGGGTTTAAGGCTTATAGGGATTAGGGTCAGGGTTTTGGAGTTTAGGGTTACGGGAGGGTTTAGGAGTTTAGGGTTTCTGAGTTCAGGAGGTTGGGGTTTAACTGAAGACTTCAAAGAGTACAACCACGTAGTAGATCATAACCGTGACAACAAAAGATTGCTACCACCATCACCACCGTGACCATCATCAGCAGCATCACCATCACTACCATCAGTTGAAAGACAAAGAGATTTTCTCGTCATGAACTCCAAAGCGCGGCCACGGTTGTGAACAACCCATGGACCCTGAACCCCCAACCGTAAATCTAAACTAAACCCTAAACCCTAAACCCTCCAAACCCTGAGCCGATCCCTCGCCACCTCTTCTCTTCGTAAGCCGAAGAAGAGGATGCTCCAGGGACCTGAGCCCATCTTCGGGACTCGAACTCCAGACGGGGCTGGTCTTATAGGAATTTCGGGGTTCCGGCTTGGTTTTAGGGTGTGAAGGTTTAGGTTTTAACGTGGTGCGGGGTCCTGGGCTGCAGGGTTTAGAGTTTAGGGCTTGGAGGGTTCAGGGTTTACGTACGTCCTAGGCCAAACCCGTACATGCCGAACCCGAAACTGCTCATTCGATTTCCCTGAACCCAACAAATAGTATCCCAAATCAAACGATGCCCTGGGAACCCGGCTGGCTCAGCTGGCGTGACCTCGGGCTCATGAGCCAATGAGTGTCTCGTTCTCTTGGGGCTTAGAAGGGGAGATTCGGTACTTCAGATAATGATTGGGCGCATGGTCATGACACTACACCATGCTACTACTGAAGAAGCCCCAAACCCTAAACCGAAACACAGCTATGCGAGTTCGAAACAAACGGCAGAAATGAGGCACCTAGATCTTGTTTCCCTCGGGCAAATGACACAATCCCTGAAACCAACAAAGCCTTCTCGTTGACTAAGCCGTGGGCCATTCCGTAGAGAGCCGCAAACTCCGGTCTATTGTGAATGACATCCTCCTTGCCACGCCGAGGAGCTCAAGCGATTCTCGTCGATTTCTTGACATGCTGTTGTGTTGTCTTCGTTTTCTGCTTCGCATTAGTTCTTGCACGCGGGGGGGGTTAAGGCTTCACGCTTGAAGTTTGAAGGCTGGCGTGGCTTGCTTCCACACTCAAAGCTGAGAAAGGTTTCCAGGGCGGGTCCTTATGAGAGTGTGCTTTGGATCCCCAGGATCAAAGTCATGAACATCCATACGATTGTGATCCAGGTTGTCATGTCGTGGTCCAAAGCCCTAAACCCTAACTCCAAGATGCGCTTGTGCCGGGCTCTTGCACTTAGGACCGTCTTCAAGACTTCTGACTACGGTGTCTCCCTGCGGCCCATAGGAGCTTTGATTAGGTTTGTGCTACAGGGTCCCTTTGAGGGCTCCTGTATACCCAAAGCCTAAATCTAAACCTTAAAGAGTCGTAGAGCCCCAAAACCCAGAACCAGTAGAACAAGCAACCCGAAGGGATCCTAGGGCTGAGGGGTAAGGTTGAAGGTTTAGGCTTTAGGGTTTTACGGTTTTTTGAGTTTAGGGCTTTAGAGTTTTAGGCTTTAGGCTTTGTAAAACCGAGTACGTCTGGCAGTTGGGGAGGAAGGCCTTCGACTCTTTCATGGCCAAAGTGAGTTGCTTCTGCTCCTCCTCAAGCACCTGTCTGCTTCGGCTCTCCTTTTGCCGGGTTTGGTTCTAAGGGCCCCTTGAAAAAGTGCTTATGAGTAGATACCCCCAAAAGAACTAAGTCTAAGGGAGACTCTACAGTTTCCCAAGGTGCCACATTAGTTTAGGGTTCAGGGTTTCGGCTCTCTACAGCCTTGGTGCTTGGGGCTTGGCGCCACGAGGCTTTGCGGGAGCTGGGGCTTTGTAGGGCGTAGGGTCGAAGTCGAGAGATTCATGGCCTAAAATGGGGGTTTCCGAAGAAAGGGGACCCTCATATAGTACCTGAAATAGTAGGACCCTTATAAAAGAAAGGACCCCAAAATAAGGTACCCTACTTTTTTGGAAACCCCCAAACCCTAAACCCTGAACCCTAAACCCTAAACCCTATTTTTTGGAAACCCCCAAACATAAAGGAACCTTAAGGGCGTCTAGGGTGCTTTGTTTCAATGGTTGCCAGGGTCACGTGAAGTTTTCAACTCAACCCCCTTGTGCCGAAAGCTAAGCCCTAAAGCTGGTACGTTGTTAGGGTTTAGGGTTTAGGTGTTTAGGGGTTTACCTAAACCCCTAAACCCTAAACCCTGTAGGGTTTAGGGGTTTAGGGGGATGGCGAGCCGAAAGCCCGAAACTCGAACAGAAGTCTAGCACTGACGGATTTGTCAACCCTCAAACTGGACCTGTAACCCAAACTCGACCCACGTTGGTAGGGTTCCTTGCTGTGGTTTCCTCATGAAGTCCCTTAGGAAGGTGTGTTTTCTCGGAATATTCCTACTTCTTGCAAGTGTGTTTACCAGCACTTCTAGCAGTTGCAGGGTCTGGGTAGCGACAGGTTCTGTGGGCCAAAGACCGGATTTGGTTCGAACCAGCTTCAGTGATCTCAGTTTCGTGACAGCAGGCGCCAACAAGACAAAGAGCTTGTCACAGACATCGTTCATCCGTGTAAGCCCGGAGACTGAAACGACGTCTGCAAACGGCTATACCCATAGGCCCCTAAGTAGTTCCTTTTTGGGATTAGCTTATAGGATTCTAAATAGAATCCACAAAACGGAACTACTTGGGGGCCTATGGGTAAACCCTAAAACGCTAAACCCCTA